CAGACCAGACACAAGACCAGACACAAGACCAGACACAAGACCATGCACAAGACCAGACACAAGACCATGCACAATACCAGACACAAGACCAGACACAAGACCATGCAGGAGACCAAGCTCAAGTAACAGTTTGAACAATGACAAAGGATGCCCTTGTGTTGTTCTTTTGAATAGCTTTTGACCTGAATTCAGACTGGAAGTCTGGTATTGGTCTTGTGACAGTCTTATATATTTTGTCTTGACTACAACACTGGAAAGTAGAGCAAAGCCTTTTTAAAAATGGCTGTGAGCAGGTTGGGAACTATCACTTAAAAATGCAACAGACTAACAGACCAAAAGTTGACAAGAAGTGAAAAGACTTGAGACAAGACAATCAATTAATTGTTGTGAAAGGAACACCTGTAATGATAGCTTGCATGTTATTCAGCCCTGAACTTTTTGGGGTTGGATGAGTTCATTTCACCCTTTGTTAGCTTTGTACTGTTTCCAATAGAGCTTGGATTAGTGCACTTCACCCTTGGGGCATTTTTCCACCAGCCCTTGACCGTTTAGTATCTGTCATTTGTTCAACAGAGAGACCCCACCCCCAAAGCCAACTACAGGATGTGTTCCGTCACCATCCTTTGATTGAGCCAAACCTGTACACGTAGAGCTGGAGATTCCTCTTTGATGTGTCTGGTACCAGCTGGCCTCGATGGATCCTCTTCCACTACTCTAAGGTTAACAATTTCTCTTCGAGTTTGCTCTTGATTTTTTTTCAGAGTACATAGCTCTTGGCCAATCACCGTTGAATGGTACATTCTTCAGAAAAGGCAAACAGCACTTCAAAATGTTTTTTACGGTGCAACACAGTAACATTAACCTTTCAAATCAGAGTCACTGAGTCAAATTCAACTCAGTTGGATGTACATGTTGTCAAACATTGATTTTTAAAATCCAACATATCTTGCTTTAAATTAATATAGCAAGAAAAGTGTTAGGTTTCTCTTCATCTTTGCTTTCTCTGTTTCCAATAATACAAGGTCTCTGTTACAACAAGGTCATCTGCGAAGTCCCAACAACCTTGTTACATGCATGCTGTCCTTTGCATCATGAACTGATGTATTTTGTAAACAAAGTTGAGATGGTACGTCACCTTGTGGCGTACCAAAACTGTCATATGTGGCACTACATGGTGCAGCCAGTACGTACGCGTACATTGTACTAGTAGGTATCCAATTGTATCTCGAGCTTTGAATTTCTTATTACATCCACAGCATTGATGCCTGACTGTAGTGTGGCATGAATGAGTATCCTAACTCGTCTACTTCTCTGCCTGCAGTACTAGTGAATGTCTTCATGCTGACACCATATAGCACCTGTTGGAATCACAAAGCATGGCACAGAAGCACACAGCAAGGCTCAGGGGTGAGATTTGACAGGATTTTTTTCCTGATTTCAGGGTTTTATAAGTGATCTCTTTCAAAATGTGAAGAAACTTGAGCTTAGGCGTGAGGTCAAAATACAGACAGTTAAGAAAGAGTTCAGCGGTTGGTGTGAATCCCCTTCATTCCGTTCGTCTTTTGATGTTGAACAATTCAACAGTTTTAAAAGAACCATCTGCCCTGGACTGTCTAGCTTCACGAGCAACCCTGACAACAATGGAGTTTGTGGCCTACACAGCCATAGTTGTGAACAAACGATCCTATTCAGGGAGAACTTCACTGGCCCCGGTCAGCCTTCCTGGGCTGGCTGTAAGGATTAGTGGTTAACACCTTGTAATAGAGACGCAAAACCAACTGCATTCTAGGTTACAGACATTTCTGTAGCTTCAGAAACGTTTTGAGTGGGTACTTCATGACAAAAAGACATTGCCACAAGATCATTCTTCATCTTTAAACATTTTTTAGACTGGAAAAGAAATACGTTGAGGGCCGGCGACCATTTAGACCCGGTTTGAAAAGGGCCCCCCGGTAGCCCGCCCGGTATTCAGCCTACTCCAGGCCGGTATCAGGCCTGTCTGTACGTCGGCATTTCAAAGCCTCTGACGGAAGACTTCCCCCACCATGCTTCCACAGATGAATAGGGGTCTAAGCGGATAAGTGTAAACAAAGTTCCTTGATCGCGGTGACAAACGCATAGTGGCATTCCTCGATTTCCAAAGCTGGTGTCCGCTATTACATATTGTCATAGTATTGGCCATCTTCAGAAAACTCATCGTTCCAAATTTCCTTTATTTTGTTAAAACGGGGAAATCCGAGGCGAACTGGCTCCCTGCTTCGGTTATGCGTCGGTGTTATATGTAGCTTTAGCAACTTCCAAAATCAAGGGGTGTTTTGCTACAAGATTTTGAATATCTACTTCACATTTCAAACCCATTTGTAGATTTTTAGTAAATAAAATACTCACACTTTTCTTTCCTCATATTTTTTGTTCGGAATGACAACTGTTTGCACCAATCATTCGGAGTTTTCCCAATTTATTGAATATGAATAAAATGGCAACACTATCACAAATGGTACAGTCCGAGAGACGTGCACGATGCCAACCGTATTTTACATGTACATGTAACCAGTGGGCCTGGTGGACAGTCAGACAGCCCGCCCCCGTACGTACGTGTAGGCTAGCGGACAGCAGGGGGCAGCGCTGCTTGGCTGGCCGGGCGTGCTGTAGAGCTTGATGCTGGCAGCACCAGTGACCGGGCTGTTGTACTTAATATTACATGTACGTTGCGTCCACATGTTTGAATGTCAACCCTAACCAA